ATCTGGATCCTCTCATCCCTGATGCTCAGTATCTGCAATCACAGCAGCAGCAGCAGCAGCAGATGGTTGTGCGCCAGCGCGAGGCATCAACGTCAGCGATGGCTATTCGTCACACAGAAGCCACTATCGTGCAATTGGGGCAGATCTACGAGCAGTTTGCCTTCCTAGTGCGCGAACAGGCTGACGTTGTGATGCGCATCGACGGCCATGTTGATGACGCCGTCACTAACGTGGATTTGGCCCATGGAAATCTGATCCAGTTCCTGCGGCATGTCTCTGAGCGTCGTGCATTCATGCTCAAATTCTTTGCTGTTCTCCTTGCAATTTTTTGTCTTTTCACTCTCTTTAGGCGCTGATTTTACCCCTGTTTGCCCTGCCACTGGCGGTGACTGCTGTTTGAACTCCCAGTTTGTTATTTTTTAATCTTTATACCTTTGATGTTGTTGATTGTACTTTTAGTGAACTATAAAAGGACCTTCTGCAGATGTGTATGTTTTGTTCCATTCATAGTCTTTGTTTCCCATTTGAGATCTTTCGCTTTTTAATGTACTAACATGTGGCCTGCTTGTATTTTGGGACAGCATAGTCATCTACTCAAGATTTTACCACCAAATTGTCGACTTCATTGTCACTTTTAAATTGAATTTTGAGTTGAGTACTGGACTTGGAAGGTTCTAATGTTGGTTCGTGGTCCATGTGCATTTCCTCCTGCGTCAAACGTATTATTTTGCTTAAGGAATAATTTACGTAATTCTGTTCCCTTCTCAACCAAGTTCAAGGTTACTAGACGGATTTAGATCACCGCTTTCGCGAGTTCCACTGTTGTAAGGTATTCTTGCGAATCTCGTAGGCAAGCGCTATTTACTTGGATGGTAACAGGTTTCTCTATCCGTGTGATTGCGCTTCCCGTCATGGCAATTATCAGGTCTCACCTCGATTTTAGTGTCGATATGTCCACTGACGATTCAACACAGCAGAAAGCAAATGAAACCACTGGTAATGAGTCCGTGAAGCTGCCTCAGAAGCGAATGTATCGCCAAAGGGCACACTGCAATCCCTGGTCGGATCA